CGGTGGCTTTCAATGAGGTGAAAGTGCGCGCGTGACCGATACACAAAAAACGCGCGGCGGCGGACAGTGATCGGTCATTGTATTCATGCTCCAGCGGCTCCGTCGCTACTATAGTGAAAACAATGGACACCCAAAAAAAGCAAAGAAAGGCGGGCGAAAAAGGAACAACAAAAAAACGCTCGACTAGGGAGAGGGTCTTTCGCAGACTTCTATTGCTCGCGTGCACACCTCGCGGCTGTCGGCTCACGGGGGCGTCACGCTTTTACGAAATCAGTCAGTCACGGGCGGAGGTACTGTGCACACCGCACACGGCGCCGCGTCAGCTGGCTAGAAGAAGGAATGCTAGGCTCCACCAAAGCGCGAAAGGGGGGCGCAGCCAGTTGGTTTATTTTGAGAGCGACTCCCTCTCGCAGTAGAAGCGAGACACTCTAGAGAGTCGATGGCTCACGGATGCTTGCGGAGAGAGAAACAATGCTTTCATTGTAATGTTGTCTCACCAGGCCAAAGGCTTTTTAAGTATACTTTAATCTAGAAAAAGCTCAGCTATTATAAAAACTTGGAAGAGTCCATTCGCGCCAGCACACTTCTCCGCAAAAGGTCTCCGCAAAAGGGGAACTGAAGAACAGAATTATTTTAGCACTCATGGTATTGCAATGTCGCATCAGATCTGTGTAAGTAAATCTACAATCATTGGAAAAAGAGATTGTGATTCGAAATTTAAAAAAGGCGGTGAAAAGTTTTTTGTACTTAGAGCAAATACAGCTTGGGAAAAAGTCCGTGGTGTTTATACACCACGAAAAGCGCGTTATTATTATTCCACATGTAATGATGGTCACAAAAAAAAAAAAAAAAAAAAAAAAAAAAACAGCTTTTCCCTTTATTCTTTAACCCTAACCCCCCCCCCCCCCCCCCCCCCCCCCCCCCCAAATCGCGGCCAGAACACGCGACCACATGATCTGGAGGCGATTATATGCCGTAAATGTTTATCATAGCCACGCGCTGGAGTTGTCTAAGCACAAAATACGTGCTGAGTTCCAACTTCCAGACATTATTATGATTCGACCATTGTCGTCATTACAGCGATAAGACACGAGCCACGACCCGAATGCTTCTCGAGCTATTGATTATCACGAGCTCAAATTGAGCGCTCACGCCATGTCCTGGTTCAATCTACGAGCCGCATTCAAATATCGACACTGGGAGACTACGCCGACACTGCGACCTCCAAGCTACGTCATTAAGTTTTTGCGAAGAAAAGATTGAAAGAAAAACGCTCGCTATTCTCCTTGAAATTACGCAACAACAAAGACGTTTCTTTTGAGTTATGGTATCTACCGCTCAACATTCGTTGACTGTCGGACATCCGTTGAATGACGAACACACTCACACACATCACTA